TAATAAAATATAGAAAAAAAAGAATTTTGCAAATAAACTAATGAAAAAATAAATTAGAAAAGAATATAGTTTCAAGTGGACAAATATGATTTTCTAAAGAAAAAAATGAGAGAAATTTTGTGATGGACTGTATTTCAAATCTTGAATTCCATTCTCATCTTGCAAGCATGGTTTCTGAAGAGATGTCGAAAGTCATTACTATAGTTGGTGCTGCCGAGGCAACTGGAACTCAAAGCGACCCAATGAACAGCAGCTCCGAAACCTGACTTATCCTGTGACATCCTTAGAGTCTCTGCCACATCCAGCGCATTATTGACGTCACTGTATTAATTCATCTTGTTGAGTGTCTTCCCCTTCTGCAGCTGACCGTCTGTTTTTCCAAGCATGCTATCTTTTTCCAAGGACTGGCGTCTCCTAGTGACATGCCCAAAGTATGCATGATATGAAGTTCCATCATCTTTCCCTCTAAGGAGAACTCTGATTACACTCTTTCCAAGACACATTTGTTCTTCTGGCTGGCCACGAGGCATGCATTATTCTTCTCCGGCACCATAGCTCAATGGCTTCAATTCTTCTGTTTTCTTTATTCACTGTCAATTCTCAGATGCATAACAAGTAACTTGAGAAGACCATGGCTTGGATCAGGTGCATCTCGGTATTTCAAGTGACATCCTTGCTCTTAGCACTTTGGAGAGGTCCCTGACAGCCAACTTTCCCAGTGCAAAATGTCTTTTGATTTCTGGCCTACTGGTACAAAAGGTGTTGATTGTGGATCTAAGTTAGATGAAATCATAGACAATTACTATCTTTTTTCCAACTGTCTTGATCCTGCCTATTGACACAGTGGTAAAGCGTTTGTTTTCTTGATGATGAGATGTAATGCATACTGAAGGCTGCAGTCCTTGATCTTCTGCAGGAAGGATTTAAAATTCTCCATACTTTTATTAAGCAAGGCTGTGTCATCTGGATAATGCAGGCTGTTGATGAGTTTTCCATTGATTCTGATGCCACATTCTTTCTCAAAATCCAGCTTTTCGAATGATTTGCTTAGCATGGATGTTGAACAGGTATGGGGAAGAGATGCAGCCCTGACACACAACTTTCTTAACCATGCAATGTTCCCTTGCTTTGTTCACCCAACA